ATTGTACAAGGTCAACTTAAATAAATCGATGTATTGATTAGATGAAAAAATCAGAGAGCTCCGATGACGACGGACAAACAAAGAAAACTTTTCAAAAAATCAGCTCACCTGACGTTGTCGTGCACTTGAACGTGCAAATCATGGAACAGTTTGTGATGTTTCGAGTTATTATTCCTTGCTGCTGTACTGCTTGATTGTATTATGCTTTTACTAACTTTATCCGTCAAATACGCAGGAATCACTGATAAGAGGAGTTGATCCTGCAAAGAAAATCAACGTAAATGCAGGTTTTTGAGGATGGGGACCGTAAGTGCAGATGGGAGGGATGAGGAGACAATTTCATATTTTGCGCGCGCAATTTATGCTCCGACCAATATGGTCCTGACACGATAACGTGTCGAAGAATTGGGCGGAGCTATGAGTTTGCTCCGTCCTTTACTGTCACCCTCACCAGATAGATGCATGTCGCTCAGGACAACTAACACAATAGTGCATTATTATAGATTGCAACTTGTGCTAGCTGGCCCACCTACGCTCTTTTGAGTTTACCTGACGATCCTTCAGCGTCTCCAATTCCGTCCTTCTATACACCGCTTCAGTGAGCTTCATCGCAATATCAGCACGATTTCCAGCCTCATTCGAATCCGAAACTATTCCTACGCAGCTAATCATCAACTGTTGTAAGAGGAAGGAAATTAGCTGGAATAGTTACGTCAAAATAGTGTATTGTCCGCAAAAGAAGCAACTCACTGAGCAAACAAAAACGGCATCTGCTTGGATTGCATCCCAGTTAATAATAAGGAGAATAGACATGCTTATTGTTACCCATAATAGCGATAGAATCAAGAATATCCGACGATGTCGCGGTAAGACGAAAAATTGCACAACTAAACTGATTAATTCATTTTTTATTATTGTAAGCTAGTGTCGTACCCGTGGCTATACATAATCCCGTGTAGAGCGATGAATGATCGTACATATGTAGATGTACGCGTTCCTGGAAAATTTATATTTTGAAAAATCAGG